CGCTATTCTGAACAATCGCCGTACTGCCTTTGTGAATATTTCGCGGTATGCTCATAATATAAGGTTATCGACCGACGCGCAGCGGAGGTCGATGCGACAGCGTACTGTCTGAGTGCATACTTTGATGTATCTTCGTAATAACCTTATTATTATGCATCTTTTCTCTTCAAGGATACATCATGGAAATGCCGAAATTCAAAAAGTTTAGAACGGAATCAGCGAACTTCTTTGTATGGAGTCCGGTCAAATCCTGGTAGCAGCCATGTTTGTTTTTATTATTAGAGGACGGTTACGCGCGTAATCATTCCATATTTGGAATTCGCATTTCCAAATATGGTAGTATAAAAATACCCCGTAAAATACCGCAAAATTACAGCACGCTGTAACCTATGGCGTTACGGTGACAGATGTATAATAATAACATAATAACATCATAATATCTTTTTTCAACTGTTAATCCTATTAGTATTTATTGACCTGTCACAAAATATTTGTCGCTTAATAAAACCGTATGAGCTGAACTGTGATATTCATGGAAAAGGAGATTGATGACAATCTGCCGGATTTATTACACTGTCACAGATCGTATCACATGATTATAACACACGTTGGTGATGTTAAAATATACATGGTTGGGGCATTACACTCGTTTTTACTTACCGTGTCTTCCTCTAGACCGCATATAATATTCATTCTCGCTGACGACTTGGGTTGGAGCGATGTTGGCTATCATGGTTCCGTTATAAAAACACCAAAAATGAAGCTAGACAACTACTATATGTCGTTGTTATGTACGCCACCGAGAGGCCAGTTATTGTCTGGCAGATATTCGGTACGTACCGAATATTGAAGTGATGATTGAGTTAATCTTAGGCGGGGAATTTCCCACGTTAGATGTTGCATATGCCGGGATTAAACCCGGTTTATTTGGGAAGGTAACTGATATTAAATACAAAATTACGATGAGCCAAATTACCAATCACAATTACCTGTATACCAATTATTCAAAAGTAATAAATGAAATATTCATGAGGCTAGTAACAGTGGAATTTCACCCACCAGTTGAAGGGAAATACGGTAATATTTTGGGTTCCATTAATTTAAATATACCTTTCCCGTTAAATATTGAAACTGTGAACTTATTGTATTGACACAATCATAATTATGATGTTAGATTCACACTGGATTACAACATCGTACCATTGATATGTTTACCCATCGACGAAACCATTCTACCACAAAAGTTAAAAGAACGCGGACATGCCACTCACATGGTAGAGAATTGGCATCTTGGTTTTTACAGAAAAGAATGTTTGCCGAATTACAGAGGATTCGATACATTTATGGGCAAGTACATTTTGTATATGCATTGATTATAATAATTATGCAAGCATGTATGTGACTATAGACACAAACATTGAAGAAACAAATATATAATGTTGTATACATTGTGTTGTTTTTGTAACGTTAGAAATTAATTATTGACAGTAAGAAGATACTAATTAAAGCGGGAGTGTCGTCACCTGCGCACGCGCGGGAATTGAGTCCCAAGCGACGATAGCAATACACGCTAAAAACGCAAAGGCTCATAGGTTAGAAGCTTGTTTGTAAACAATGACACGCTATGGCCACCTGACGCATGCGTAGGTGACGACTCCCCCGCTTTAACACGTGGTGCTAGACGCTTTCAATGCAGAATGGTAAGTGTTGATAAGTGTATCTACGGTGAATCAATTTGCATTTTTTTATCAGGGCCTGGTCGATTATTATTATCACAATATCAGTACCGGAATATACCATGGCTGGGATCTTTGAAGAAATAATGACGTCATCGCTCAAAATTACGCCGGTCAATATTCAACCCACGTGTTTGCAGATGAGACCCAGATTATCATCATGAAGCATAAACCGGAAGTAGTGAGTAACATCGTAGATTTACTAGAAACATCTCACACATAGAAGGAGTTCTTTCTTCCCGTTAAAGCGGGGGAGTCGTTACATACGCATACGGCAAACGGCCATTGCGTGTCGTTGTTTACGAACAAACGTCTACCTATGAACGTTTGCGTTTTTATCATGCGTTGTTATCGTCGCTCGGGCCTCAATTCCCGCGCACGCGCAGGTGACGACCCCTCCGCGCGCTTTAAGTAATAGTGAGTTAGTACACTATTTGTTGTTTGTATGTGAGCTTAGTTGACTGCGTTTCTTATGTATGTGATCTAGTAGAACAAAGCATGTGGTATAGAGCTTATTTTCCGGTTCTACTACGCTAGCTAAATATTTTGGAAGCAAGACACACCGATACCCCCACATCAAACTACATTGTTAAGTAACAAAAAACGTAGGCGGCCATTTTATTTTTGTCTGTTCGAATTTCGCGCAGTTAGTTTTTTTGTAGATTAAACTATTGAGTATATTGATGTAATTATGATAGAATATTTTGAATATGTGGATTCGGCAACACGATGTTCGCGTGCTTTTAATTTCCCGTGTTTTGTGGTTTGCCCGTTTGCATAAATTTAATGGGGCAAAATTATACCGATAGAAAAAAGTACAAATCACTCACAGCTGTTACATAAATCCACGTCTCTATTTAAAGTTCTGTATTCTATAGAAATTACACTATTGATGTAGGATTGCTTATTTTGTTTGTATCATTTCAGTGGGAGGGAATATTTAATGCTTAATCCCCGTATGTAAAAAATGACTGTTAAAAAAAGTTAATCGCCCTATCATTATATGTATGAGAGTAATGAGTTTAAAAGTACCTGTCATTTGGGTCCATCAGTCAATTAATCTGTAATATGTGAATTAAAGTGAGATAATTGTCGTATCTTGCTTGTCGAGCCAATCGTGTCATTCTGCTTATTTAAAAAAAAAACATACATATATCTGTACGCTGGAATTTAATATAGCTAAAATTATGCTTTTTGATTAGAAATAACAAATTATGTTACATTTGTGTTTAACTCCCTTCTTAACAAGTGACACAAATTTGGATGAATCAATAAACAATAAACAAGGCTACAGAAAATAAAGTTGTCGGGCAGATTTTGGAGGGCCAATTTGTGAACATGAGGGAAAGTAACACCAATAGAATTCCCATAGACGACAGCGTTAACCTTAGTGTCGATAACAATAATTTGAAATTATCGTTTACTTGTACATTTTTACCATGCTTTTACCAAAACCAAACTGTTTGACAATTTTTTTTTTACAAAAAACATAACCCAGATACACAAAATTAAGAGCATCGGACATTTATCACATTGTCACAATGGAATATTAATAATAATATTACGTAATATTTACGTCACACACCGCTGTACGAAACATGAATACAAATCACAGCAAAAATAACAATATTATAAACAAATTAAATTAAAAGTCTTCAAAATACTTTAAAAATGACATTACCATTAAAATCGGAGAACTGTCTTCTAAAAAGTTGAGTTTTCAGACTTCTCTTAAAAAACATTGATTTTGATTGACTGACAAATGGAGAATGGAAGTTCATTTCAAAAGGAGGGCATAATTACCAAAAGAACGCCAACCATATGTCTTTGTGGTACATTTTTAATTTTGTCTTTTCAATAAAAAAAGACCAGTGTTAGATGACCGAGACTATGATCACAAGTCACATAAATAAATTGGAGCAGAATTATTAAAAAAATTACAGACAGTCAACAGTACTTTAAATGCGTAGCCGATGCAAATTATAAGGTGTAGATGTATTGTAGTCAGATTTTTTTTTACAATTGACTAGTCTGGCTGCTGCATTTTGAACAGATTGGAGTTTGTCTAACTGAAATTGAGGGCATCCATTAAATATAATATTACAGTAGTCTAATCTTAATGTCACAAATGCATGGACTATTGAATTCATCGTAGCCGCTTTATCCAATAGAGTTCGATTTCTACTAATACAGTAATGTGCAAAGTAAGCTGACTTACAAATCTGATTAATATGGTGCCCCAAATCACCATCAGTTTCAAAATGAAATCTAAGATTACGGTCTGAGCTAAAAAAATTTATGTCAGACCCACCGATTATCAATGAGTTCAACATCTCAATGTTCTTTTTAAAGCGCGATGAATAATGAGTGATTTCCGTCTTGCCAGGGTTGAGAATCCACATGTTTGATTTCAGCCAATAAGGTACAATATTATTCATATTATAATAACATTGAGACTTGTGAATGACCTACTTGGAAATAAAGGACATGAAGCAGATTTTAGTAATATAGCAACGTTTTGGATAAAACATATTAACAAGCAACCATTACAATAATCTTTCAAAACTTATACATATATTTGAAATATATAATAGTTTGAATTAAAATAAAAGCAATTATATAAGAATATCATCACAATACAATAATTAACTATTCCCTATCAACAGATATTTGGTTTTGACAAATATTTGGATCTAACATGTGCTTGAAATAAAACCTTTAATCCCTTCACGTTTTTCGTTTATTGATAAACTATGTCACCTAGAAAGAGAGGGGTGATTGTTAGCCTTTATAATCATCTTTGTTATTTTGTTGTAAAACAAAATTCAACCCAAGTCAAATTCATCAGATACTCATACACGTAATGAGGGGCTTACAGTAGTTAAAATAGCGACAACATTATTAATATGAAATATTAATGGATGTAGACATTTGACGAAGAATACATGACTTGTCGTTATTTGAATGAAAAAAAATAAATATGGAATTTATCTGAACATGCTGTACGAAAATAATATGACACTTAGCTGTACCTTTCGTTGTCCTAAAATTGATGTTCCGAACACTGTGATCCGGATTCGACTTTCCTGTAAATGGCGCCCTCTAGTGGCAAAACGCTCATGCGGCTGGTGAAATGTGACGAGACGCTTGCGGGTGTTGAAAACCCATATGCGTAAACTCGACTGTTCGTAGTCAAATTGATTACTGCAGCTGTGTGTCTTCATTACTCAGTAGCAGATTGTATAGCGTGATGTTAAAATAGTCATGCTCGGTGCAATACACTCGCTCTTACTTGTTTCATCTTGTACACTCGTGTCGTCATCCAGACCGCATATAATATTCATCCTCGCCGATGACTTGGGTTGGAGCGATGTTGGCTATCATGGTTCCGTTATAAAAACACCAAACATCGACGCATTAGCGTCAGAGGGGGTGAAACTAGACAACTATTATATGTCGTTGTTATGTACGCCATCGAGAGGTCAGTTATTGTCTGGTAGATACGAGGTATGTACCACATATAAAATGATGATTGTATAATGTATTACCACATATGCTGGCGTCTTTCATACTGTTTTGATGAACACATTAAATTTGTTCTGAATGTCATTCACTCTAGCAAAATGGGAGATTTAAAACAACAAACCTTTACGGAAAAGTTACGGAACTATTTTTGATTAGTGATCTTCTTTTCTATTTGAAATGAAATGAAGCACAGTTTATGTGTTCCAAGAAGTTATCACCCATTTGCTAGATTAATAATTAATGTATTAAAGCACGGTGGTCGTCGCGCAGCGCGTGTTCGAATTTCATGTAAATAAACAATGTATTTTACACGCGTTGTATACGTCGCTATGAGTCTCATGTCGAACAGGACGCGGCACGACGACTGCCGCTCTTCAAATGCGTAAGCACAGTAACGTTCCAGTAACTCAAAGTAAAGTTTTCAATCAAAATATTAAAATTATGTACATATTTTATTAAAACAAAACAAAAGTATGAAATACTTAATGTTAATATAGATTCACACTGGATTACAACATCGTACCATCGATATGATGCAACCACTGTGTTTACCCATCGACGAAACCATTTTACCACAAAAGTTAAAAGAACGTGGATATGCCACTCACATGGTAGGGAAATGGCATCTGGGATTTTACAGAAAAGAATGTTTACCGAATTACAGAGGATTCGATACATTTATGGGCAAGTACATTTTGTATATGTATTAGAATAAATATGCAAACAAAAGTTTAGCTGAGTTTTGTGTTAGCCGTCGAATTTGTTATACACATTGTGTAGTTATTTATCGTAAATAGTTATTTTGTAAAACATTGACACTCATAAGCACGTGGTGCTAGACGCTTTAAATGCAGAATGATACGTGATGAACCAATTTGCAGGTTTTTATCAGGGCATGGCCGATTACTATTATCACAATATCAGTACTGGAATATATCATGGCTGGGATTTTCGACGAAATAATGACGTCATCGCTCAAAAGTATGCTGGTCAATATTCAACCCACGTGTTTGCAGATGAGGCCCAGATTATTATAATGAAGCATAACCCAGAAGTAGTAAGTAACATTGTACATTTACTGACAAACTACAAACGGTTTCATGCCACTAAACAATATCTAAAACAAAGAATAATGCACTCAAAACATAAATTTAGCTTTTTTTAGGCTTAGATAAATATATTTTGTCGCAAATTGACTACCACTGATTGTAATGTGTTACTATCTACCTACTCTGTTATTTTGTTGTATACTGTATTGATGTAGAAGTGGTTGGATACTTTGAATGCCTGGATTTGGCGAAACAAAATATTCGCGTGTTTTATTTTCTCGAATTTTGCCTTTTCGCGAATATAAAACTGTTTAACTGAGAGAAAGAGACACACTATATAATTCACTTCCAGCTGAAGAAGGACCAGTACCCCAAACATATAAAGAATAATTACCATTTATCATTTTGGGACCTTGACCCATTTCAGATGATTCATTGTATGAGGGACGTGTGCTATAATGTTCGATAGTAAAAGTTTAGTTTTCAATTTAGGCCACCCCTGGGGTATCTGTGCGAGCTTTACTTCAAGAAAAGCGTTTCTTGCAAAAACTGAACACAAGTAAAAGATGCATTATTACGATTTGACATGGCCCAAAAAACTTCAAAATTGAGTAAGGTTCATTCTATATTTGACACGACACTGAACAAGCTCGCTTGTGGAAGGAATAGTGCCCGTGAAAAAGACAACCCGGACAATAGAGGTAGGATGAACGAGCTGCTATTCCTTGGCACCGAACGAAAACAACCACATGAGAGAAGAAGAAACGGAAGACAGAAAAAAAAAACAGTTATTGAATCTATGCCAGTTTGTACATAATAGTTATCGTCTGTTATCATAAATTCAGTTATTATTGTATTTTTGCTTCATTTCACTCAGTATATAAGCCGGAGGTTTGTAATACATAGAAATAATAATATTATTGTTTTCGTCAGTTGTGTGTGATATAATACCATGCTAAATGAAAATCATATTTACTAATCCTACAACCAGATGTTACGTCATCCGCCAGTGTTGACCCAATCCTGCATGAGATAATATTTGCATGGTTATTAATGTACCATGAAAACAGTGATGAAAAGTACCATATATCACTACGCTAAATCAAAATTGATGCTACAGACAGCTGTTTCGTCATCTGTCATCTGGAAAGTACATGGACAAAATATAGACCCACCGAATTGGTATGGAATGAATAGCATGTGTTTCTCCCCAATTTAAGCCTTGTGTTTGTATTTGTTGCCGAAAATGTGTTTAGTGGCAATGACCTTAAAATCCAGCATTGTGGTACACATGAGTAATGTGTGTATTGTTCAAGGCGGTACATATTTACCACTTCCATTCGTACATATTCGATTGCGTACATATGCAATCATATTCTGACCATGACATTTTGTCTTGCGAGTCACATTAGATTCATGTGTGTTTGAAGGCGATTAAATCAATTGAGAACACGTATATATACTATGACCTTGATTGTTCACATTTTTGTTCTTAACCAACAAGTATTTGAGATGACGCTTGAGAACTGAGAGATAGTTTTTTGCTGGTAGTTAGTTTGTGAAAATGCATAAGCAAATACTAAAGCTTTGAACCAAAAATGTAACCCGTTCCCGTGCGTTACGGGGAGACATATGTGCTAAATTTGCAGAGGCTAGGTACCCCCATGTAGTATATCATATAGTATTTGACATAATAAACACAACTATTTAAGTAACAGCTGCTGGGTTTAACGTTTATAAAACATTTTTCATTCCTTTTATATTGTTTTGGCAATGTTTACTATATTATAAGTTAGTAGTTGCAATAAGACAACTGAGGCGTTATAAACACAAACCACGTGTAACGCAATTCATCAAGCACCAAAGCGTTAAATAGTAAACAAATTACATAAGACTGTGATGGGTAAATTTGATGTCTTCAAACCCTTCACTTAGGTACCCGGGATTCGAATGTTCTCCACGTTGGACTCACAAAAAAAACAGAAGCTCAATTCGTGTCACCTTCGATTCTCCGACTGCTTCGTGCTCTCTCGCCAAGACAGCTTCAAATTTATTAACTTAATTAACTTCTTAGCCAATTACAAGGAAGTACCAAAGCAGCAAGGCGTTGCCTCCAAACAAACAGCCAATCACACGAAAGTTTTACACGTCATAACACAATTGATCAATCGTTACTACATTAGGAAAACTACTATCATCATGTCAACGTCAGCTTATATTTATAGGCGCCAATGGTCTTGCAATAACATTCCACAGTTGACATTCATATACATCATTAGTTCTGAACTCTGGCTATATATCCTCCAAGATGCCGCATAAGCTTGAAAACAACAAGCTCATACGAACGTGTCGACAGATCTCAGCCAGTCCTGCCATCTGGCCTTATCAGCCAGCCGTTATCAGTGAATGTCAGTGCAACTACCAAGAAGCAGAAATATAAATCATGACAATACACTAAGATATGTATAGTATATGTAATAATATGCGTAGGTAACTACAGCGATGCAACTAAGAGAGACACTCTTTACTACATGCAATAAATAATCTGAAATAGAAAAAGTGTATATTATTTACCCATGTATATATATTATTATGTTAATTAAGGACAAAAATAAAATTTCAATGGCTATTTCCACGTTATTTTTTGTGATGTATGAATTTTGTAACCAAAATGTACATGGTACCATAAAATTACCGTACCGTAATTTCCAGATCAGATTACAGATTTTATCCTGTACATGGCGAAGAAGGTAAAGGTGGTCATGCCGAACACATTCATAGATTTGTGAGATTTTCCCCCTGATACGTGGTGGAGAACCCGAGCAGGTTTTTAACACACATTGACATCCTGTGAAGAAAAGTGAAATGGCGAAGGTGTGTCTTTCTTGCGAACCGAACTAGCAGCTCGATGGCAGAGACAAAACCGCACTTGACGACTAACGCCGTTAACAGTATGGCACCGATGAACGACGCTGAGGACATGAAGACTTCGGAGCCCCTTAGGAAGGATAAGTATCGAATAGGACTGTATAATCAAGACTTGAGCGACATTAAAGACAAGAAGATGAAAAAGAACGACTTGGACTAACGCGATGAAAGAGAAGAGACGCTATATAGACTTTGAATTAGAACTTTAGCTATCTGTGTATTGCTTAGAGAACTGCTCGCTGGACACTGTAACTGACACTGTGTAACTCAAGACGTTGAACTCCTTTTTCAGAATCCCAACACTATTGTTCAGTATGTAATGTATTGCTTGCTTTTCCTATCGTTTTTCTGAACGTTTTTTGTGATATTGAATTGTATGTATGTGAGCGCCCAGATCTTAGTTTTGAAGTGATATTTAGTGACGTGCGAGGTCCTTTATAACGATTTAAGCGCGTTTCAGTGGACAAGTATTTGCAACACAGTGTTTTGAGTTTTGTGAAGTTTTATGGTGTTTTAATAAGTTTATGAGTACGGAATATGATGGGGAGAGTAATGCCCCAAAGAGTTTTAAGAGTTTTGAGATTTGTCGATGTACAGAGATATCGACGTTTTAAGAGTTATTGTAGTTTACGTGTTGTTTTCGGAATACTTCCGATGCTTTTTGAGTTGATTTGAGTTGAGAGCACCTTTGTAACGTTTTTTAATGTCTTTTTGAGATGAGAGTGTGGTGCGCTTATATACGTATTGTTTGATAACGCAAGCTTTTGTTCATGATTTACAGGATTATATGTGACTTAGTAGTGTCTATCGTTTTAGCTTTTTCCCGTCTTAATTGCCAGAGGAGTAATGTTTTATGATAGCGGCTTTGTCTTTGTATTCCGTTTCCACGCCTGTATGACTTTTGTTTAGATTAACGACTTGTGAGTTCAGTTGAAGTTTATAAGCGTATATGACAGGACTTTGATTAATAGTTTGTTTATTCATTCTTTATTAGTTACCGCTTTGCAATGCTTTAACCAAGAGACGCATCCCTGGTAATCACGTGATCATGCTGTCGACTGCAGCGCTTGGCTGATCGCTTGGTTACACCGCCACGCCTTAGTTTTTTTTGACCTTTTGATATAGAGTTTGTAACCTTAGTAACGGGAGACAGTGCAGCGAAGGGTTACCTCAGCGAACCGTTTTGAGAAAAGCAGGCCTATTGGTAGCCTTTCCCTTGTTTTTAGATTCATAACCGTTGATGTTTGAGACATTATAATGATTGTATTTAATCAGTGTGTTTTACTCTTTTGATTTATACCTTTTATTACCAAACGCTTCAGCGTGGTATTAAGAATTTGTTTTCAGGGTTGGGTGAT